TCCCCGTTTTTGTATGCTACTTTCACCAGCACATACATTTTAATGCATGGTTTATGCTAGCAAATGCATTTCTGTATGCGTCACGTGGCTGAAGAGAAAGAAGAAGAAAGATTTGGAGAATTGTGCCCCTCAGTTTATGGCTTGTTCAAAAGTCAATAAGGACAGTGTCATGTCTTCAGAGCAAACAAGACACGGAGAGGTGAGTGGGGGAGAACCAAGGAAGTTACGATGAAGCCCCAAGGTCCTAAGTTCTCCAGCGAATGGAGGATTCACAGAAACGGGTTCCCGTGTCAGAGCTAGAGCTGCCGAACACCCAGCAAGGAGGGCCAGAGGACTGCAGAGAGCAGCAGTTGGAAATCGGACCAGTTCCCCCTGAGAGCAGTAGGGGAGAGTCCGCATCGAGTAGGTTGTCCGTTCAGCGAAGGACATGAGTGTTAAGGTTTGCCTTTAAACGTGGAATGAAACAGATTTCTCTCCCCAACTTCCCAGCCCCAATCGCTAGCCCAGAATACCTTGCTCATAAGGGCACAAAAGGGCAATAAGAACCGGGAGGCGGAAACCCCTTTCCAGCATAGCACACGCTCAAGGGGCACTCTCATCTTTGATACTGCTTCACCTTTTCCAGCACGGCTGAACTCTGGAGTCAAGAGCCAGTTCTTCTGCAAGTTCTTATGACCTTTCGCTGAAAATAAACTCAGAGCCTTGCTTTCCTCTGTCCAGTTAAGCACATACTGTATCCTGTCACACTGGGGGATAATGTAGCACATACTGTCAGCCTCCAATGCAAAACTGGGGCAGAGGGAGAGCTTGAAAGGCATTTCACCCCCTTGCCAGAACGATTACTTTCCCCATGCATTTGAAAGGAAGCAAATTGCTTCTGTCTGCTAGCAGCATGGATTTGGCCAACCTATCTTTTAATTTAGATACAAGTTTCTAAACTCCAAGGAATGAGGAGAAAAAACTTAGGCAGATCTCTGATTCTAAGAGAAGGTTTGCACAGGTCAGAAAATAAAATGGGCTGCTTTTAAGAGCAGACCGCAGATCTGGAACCTCGTTAGCCTGACACATACATGGCACAATGAAGGGTTAACATTCCTAACCTAGTCTGCAACTTTCATTGATCTAGCCTTGAGCATCCCCTTCTGCCCTGCCAAAGCCCCATAGGACTGACTAATCTTTGGGCATCTATCCTTGCTTTCCTTCTGGAACCACGGAAGCCGTTCTTCTTGACCTGCAGCTCCATCTGCTGTTTTAACACTGCCTCTTTCGCCACCACCAATGCTCAGGGAGAAATTGTGTGTGTGTCTTTGTCTCTCTTTCTCTCGCTCCCAGGCACCTGAACCAACTGCTACGATGGAACCAGGCTACCAAAACTAAAACAGGGGTGGGGGGGAGGAAAAGAATCTTTGCTATCTAGCAAGCCATTTCAAAATAAATAGAGACACTGTTAATTTTGTAATTTACAGCAGCTGTAAAGACCCCAGGAGGCAGAAGTGCACCCTAGGTGGTCCTAGGGTTTCATGTACATCCCCTGGCATGATGTTATGGGGAGCAAACGGGGAAATGGGGGGCAGCAGAAAGAGAGAAAGGGGATGAGGGGGGCAAGGGATGTGTTGTAAGCTGCCCAGAGTGGACAGGGTATAAATATTATTATTATTATTATTATTATTATTATTATTATTATTATTACTACTACTACTACTACTACTACTACTACTACAGGGATTTCCCTGCCTGCATTTGACTCTAGCCCCATTCACTTTTGGCACCAGCCATGCCCACCATCAATATGTGGCCTCCAACTGATTACCCCAGGGGGAATGCGGCCCTTCTCTGCCCCTGCAGAAACACAAAGCTACCTGAAATGAGCTGAACTGATATGGTCAACCCATGTTTTCATCACAGAGAACTGGGCTTCAACCACTTAAGATTTCCAGGTGGGGCTTTCTGGAATTGGGTTCTGGGTTCAAGTGAAACCCTGATGCCGGTTCATTTATTACTTCTCTAACCACGATTCTGCCCGCCCACCCCCAATCCATATAAATGTGGATACAAATTGGTCTCATCCACACATCCCTTGAAACCATAGCTATGCTTAACTATGGTTTAAACGTGGGCTGAAAATCGTGGGCATGTCATGATCCTTACACACTCCTGCTGTGCCATGCTGCCAGGAGTGAAGCCACGGTTTGTGACGGTAGTTTCTTTCAATGTGGCAAACTCTATCAGCTGAAATCCTCTGTTCTACTGGACTATTAAAGGTGCAGGAGTCCCCTTTCCCTTTTTCACCGGGTCACTCTAATCCCCGCCCACTCACTCCCTTGGGAAATAAATGCTAACCTGACCTTTGAAACTAGTAGCAGCTGAGACATTTGTCCTTAATATATCAGGCAATAAATAGCTGTGCAACTACATTAAGACTTCACTATCCAGGTCATAGGACTGAACCTTAGATCTGAAAAGAGGTTCCTAAGTTGAGCCCCGGATCAAATAAAAGCCCGAATGTGGAAATATCAGTGCTACTGGGGAAAGGAGACAAAAGCCCAGCAGAGCTTGAGAATCTGGCTTTCGGCAAGGCTGCTCTGTGCTGAGTTTCAAGTCATTAGGCAACAGGAGGGAGTCGAAAGTGATCTGCAGGTGATCAGAGGCACATTACTCACAGCGCTGAGCCTGCATGCAGAACAGGTGCCTCTAAAGAAGTGCCATTCTCTCACACACCTGGCACAAAACGAGACGTGTATTTTTCAGCTCTCACACGACTAATTCCTAACAGTTTGTGTTACAAGCACTTAAGCATCTGTTCCAGAAACGGAAGGCACTACAGGACTCGAATCTCTTGTTGCGGGACAAGAATGTGTGAGCTCTGGCCATCACAGGGAAAATGGCTCACAAATTACACGTTTCTAAGCATAAAGAATGCATTTCTAAGGCTGTTTGGCGGGATTTCATTTCTTACACATCAAATTCAGCTATACAAAACTATCTTCCACCCACCAAATTGCAAAATTTGGCTGAACTCTGCGAGTTCTTGCATGATTTCAGCCAATCCTGGTGTGGCTTCTGTGCCTGCCGCGGAGTGTCTATAGGACTCCTGCCTTGGGGGCTTCAGTCACCTCAGTCTGCCTAATGGCAGAGCTAGCTCTGTGGCTGGGACTGATGGGACTTGGAGCAACATATGACCAGTAAAGGTAAAGGACTCCTGGATGATTAAGTCCAGTCAAAGGCGACTATGGGGTTGGGGTGCTCATCTTGCTTTCAGGCCGAGGGAGCCGGCGTTTGTCCACAGACAGCTTTCTGGGTCATGTGGCCAGCATGATTAAACCACTTGTGGCGCACTGGGACACCGTGACTGAAACCAGAGCACATGGAAACGCTGTTTATCTTCAAACCCCATCAGTACCTATTTATCTACTTGCACTGGCGTGCTTTCAAACTGCTAGGTTGGCAGGAGCTGGGACAGAGAAACGGAAGCTCACCCCGTCGTGGGGATTCAAACTGCTGACCTTCTGATCAGCAAGCCGAAGAGGCTCAGTGGTTTAGACCACAGCGCCACCTGCATCCCATACGAACACTGTGCAGGCACTGAATGGCCAGCTCCAGAGGTTGGCAAGGTTGGCAAGATGAGGTCAGAGGTTTTCAACCTCTGCACCCTTGGATAATTTAACGATTGGCCAGGGGTGCTGCAGGAGGGCCCTCCCCTCTCTCTCCCTCTTCACGTCAGCCATCCTTCCTTCATATTTACAAATCTCTCTTGATTTATCTCTCTATCTCTCTCCCCAGCCCGGCCTGAGTCCTGCTGCTCCTCCTGCTTTCTGTCTTCCAATCATATTGCAGATTTGATTCTCTCCCTCCTCCCCCTCCACACTCAACAGGGCAGGGCGGGCACGGAACGGAACGGGGGAATCCCCACTTATGCACTTCCTGTAATGGAACCCCAGTATAAGTGGCTTCCACAGGGGAGCCGCAGAAAGAATGTGGTTGGTCAAGGGCACCGTGGACTCAAAAAGATAAGAAAACCTCTGCCTCAGGTTGTCATGAGACTCATTGCGGAGGACTGCAGAAGTTGGATAAAACCAATAAAGGGTCTTTGCTTTCCTTTACCCTTAACTAGCCACAAATTTGCTGGTGACAATGATCCAAAAAGCTGCAACCTAAAACGGCATTAGCAAATGGGCATGGAGGTTGGGTAGCTAGTATCTACGTAATAATGGCACTGTGTAAGAAAACATACAAACCAGCTTATATAATCTTGTAGAATAAGAATTACCAAAAATAAAAGCCTGTCTTACAGAAATGAAAGGGTCTTGTGCAGCATCCCAGAACACAAGATCTATATTACCAATTTAAATGTGTTTGAAACCGAACCAGTTTCTACTATGGCTTCCACAAAAGGACCTGGGAAACGGGCGTTTCATGATGATGCTTGACAATTCCTTATCGGGTATCTCCAGTGCCTTATTGTGATCTGTAATCCCTCAAGACGGCTTAGTATACAATTTTGATCAGACCTGAAATGTGTACTTAAACTTATAATACAGCTAGACATGTCTCCTTGAGAAGCAGGACCAAGGTCTTGGCTACTCCATAAAGATCTCCAAAGTCCCGCTTCACACCACTTGTTGCCAGAACGGTGTCACCTGAATAAGTCCCATGGCTTTCAGGCAAAGACTGGGAAGTTGTGGTCTTCCCAATGTTGCTGGACTACAGTTCCCTTCATCCCTGACCATCAGCCATGCTGGCTGGGGCTGATGGGAGTTGTAATCAAACAACCTCTGGAAGGCCCTAGGTTCCCCATCCCAGATTTAAGGAATCAGGAGGAGAATGCTGCACGTACAAAATTAATTTCCTCGTTTGCTCCTGATCTAAGTGGGTAAGGAGGACTGAAAGAGTCCTAATTGGGAAAGTTGCATCTTGCCTATGTTAAGCCATGAACCCAGAGAAAGAAAACATTGAGAGTGTTGAGATAGGAACTTGGTTGAAAAAAGAAAGGCAGCTCTTACCTGGTCCCGGATCCTCTCCTGCTGTCCTCGGATGGCCAAAGCATGCTGGGGGTATTTGCTCTTCAAGTGGTCCATGAAAGCATCTCGCTTCCGTTCCATCTCAGACTTCTGGAGCCCTGTCAGGGCCTCCAGGCTCTGGGCAGCGATGACCGTGTGCCGGCGCTCCGAGGTGTGCACCAGGCCTACGTTGGAGAATCGGCGTGTGCCATTGCCCAGGGTCCGGTATTCCCGTGGATATTCTGCATCGTCTGCTGAGATCATGTGGGCGCTGGTCCTCTCGGGATCTACACAGATTGGGAGAGAAGGGAAGGAAGAAACAAGAGAGGGAGTCAGGGTACCTTTCTACTTACCTCACAGTGCAGAAAGGGGACCAGGGATGTCGGCTCTATAGGAAGGAGTGGGAGAGCTTACTCAAAAAGGGGTGGGCAGGGTAAGGAGAAAGAAGGCAATCAGAGGCTATGTTAGAATGAAGTGCTGATCAGTCTTCAGCATTGCATGACCCTCCTTTTGGGATAGGGAAAGAACAGTCCCATCCAGGCACCGGTAGGATTTTCCCTTTGGCTGTGGTGCCTGTTGGAACCGGTAGGTTGGAAGGCAGGGAGGCCAACAGTAGGGGGAGCTAGAGCCAATGACAGGCACAGCCAACACATTCTAGCTTTGTGTACATCCTCCTTCCTACTGAGTTTTACAAGGGCAATGAGGAGACTAAGGATGCTGACAGCCAGGGCCACTGCACCTGGAATGGATATAATTAGGTAGGCAGGCAAGTAGGGGCAGACTGAGGTTGGTGGGGAAGTGCCCCATTTGCCCTATGTCAGGCTTCCTCAACCTCGGTCCTCCAGATGTTTTTGGCCTACAACTCCCATGACCCCTAGCTAGCAGGACCAGTGGTCAGGGATGATGGGAATTGTAGTTTCAAAACATCTGGAGGGCCGAGGTTGAGAAAGCCTGCCCTATGTGGACCAGCCTCCATTACTTATTGGTGGCAACTGTCTCCAAGAGAATCAAGACTTTGCTACAGCTTTCTCTTCCCACTGATCAGCCTCAGAACAAGGCCACAAAAATTTTCAGACTCTTGAAGGAAGGGGCAGGTAGATCTCGGTCTTTACAGGGGCATGACAGAGGTAGGTAAGAGATGGGGAGATGGGAGGGAAGTCCGTTCCAATCACTTTTTATTCCAAAGTGATTTCAAGGGGGTTTCTCAGTGCAAAGGGGACAAAGGGGGCGTGTGGTGGGGGGCAGAAAAGAGGCCGTCATCCGGAAGACAGATAAGACATAAACATAACAAGACGACAACTGGTGGCGGGAGGTACCACGGAGACATCAAAACTGCCCCCCCAGGGGGGGCTAAAATCAAACATAAGACAGTCATGAGACCTCAATGGGGATGACGGCCTAGGTGCCCCTGCTCTCAAGCAGAGGCAGACAGAGGGACAAGACAGACGAACATTCTGCAACAGTAAATACGGACATAAAGGAACTGAAAGAAAACGGAAATGAGGTGCAGGTTGGTTCATGGGGGAGGAGGGAGGAATTTTTGTGGAACATCGCTCTGAAGCTCAGGAATAGCTAGAACATCTGAAAACTGGAGAAGGGGGCTTCCGCTTCTGACGCCTGCCCCAAGAAAGGAAAGAACAGCAGCACAGCCTAGTTCCCAAAAGGTTTGGGTCCCTTCAGACATCTTGATTCATTACCATCAGTAAAATAGGCCAACAATGCTCACATCCAAGGAAGAAAACTCCACCTCCCCACCACACACCAGCTAACTGCACTGTAAACATTCCTAAATACTTATGATGCTGTTTCCATAACCAATCACACTAGCTTAAATGCTCCATATGAAGTATGGGGCAGCTATATTCTGCCCCATGTATTTTATGCAGAAGAATAATCTTCCCTTTGTCAACTTCCCCTCCTGCAACTGTTAAAATATTTATGAATACTCTATGACATCACAGCAACTCAGCCAATGGCTTGGAGGGGATGACCTCAGCTCTGCAAGGAGCCCTCCAGACCGGTGTTTTCTCGTAGGTATATTCAGCAGTATGTTCTTCATGCAGTAGCGGTGGACTTGTTCTGCTTTATTAGTTCTTCTGCAACGCGTCCCCCAATGCTACCACATTTTTGCTGTCCAGAGGGGCTATAGCGCAACAGTAAGTGGGACCCCAAAAAATGCATTTGCGGTATGAAAAGTTACAGGATTCCAAAAGGAAATTGCAGGATATGCACAGATTGGAAATGAAGTCGTATAACCGACTCAAAACTTTTGCGCAAGCAAATAATATTGAAATTGGGGTTGCATATGGCCTGTCTAATATCATGAGTACATATCATCATGAATGCACAATGAAGAGGACGTCTGGAGAGGCCTTACATCTTTAAGCAGGTTTTAAAAGCACACTAATTTAGGGCTGCTTCTTTCTAATGTAGGTTTCTTATGAGCTTAAGTCAGAGAGTTGTTCTAGAATGCTTACCTAGCTTGTCTACTGTAACTCATGTTGCTGTTTTATTTATTTTAAAGTGGCATATGCTTTTAAAATAGTGTGCTGCTGCCATATAAATTGAGTCTTTTGCTTCTGAACTGTATTTTACATGTATTTAGAAGAGCTATTCCAAAAAAACCACCCCAGCCTATAAATGAATTTATAAATAAAAGAGCTGTGAATCCCTTACTGTTATAAGACCATGGAGTCTGACCCTTCATGAGGGGATCAGTTTGTATGGCAAAATACATTTCTGGCCCCAAAGATGGTGTCTGGAATAGAGTGGATTCCAATAATGCGGAAGAAGTTAGACATTCCTGATCAACAGCACCCATAAATTAGTGGTCTTCATAAAGGATAACACCTGCTTAGCTGAAGATAAGAGGCAAAGACTAACTCCTGAAGTTCCAACACTACATCAGACCTCCCCTCTATAGTCACTGGCATGGAAATCGTACTTTCTCTAGCACAGGCAAGCTTTGATAGGATCAGGGTGACCCATGGAAAACAGGCCTGCAAGTCTGGCAAATGTCTGGATAGCGTCGTATAGACATGGTTGTATCTGGGTAGAATCAGGACTTTGTAGTAGCTGTTCTGTTCTGATTTATTGTCTAGCTTTCTGACTGCGCCATCTTCTAAATTCATGTTCTTCCACCACGGGTCCCCAGATGTTGCTGGTTTACAACTCCCATGAGTTGTAGTCTCACAACATCTGGGGACCACCAACAGGAAGAACATTGCTCTGAGCCTCCCGTGACAAAAAAGGATGGTAGTTTTGTATCATTAGCCACATACTTCCTTTGAAACCCCTCCAAAAATCAGAATGCCAATTTTGATTGGCGCTCTTCTTGGGGTTGGGTGGGGGAAGAGTTGTTTTCTCTCTGGTTTTTGTACTGATCAATTCAGTTCTCCTCTTTATTTTCTACTTCCTTTGGTAACCAGAAGTAAAACTTCTGTGTGCAGCACCAGTAGCTTCCTACCCACCACCAAGAGATAAGAGTCTAAGCTGTGTGTAACTTAAAACAGGCTGGCCAGCGTAAATCAACAGAATACTGAGCAGCTAATGCAGCATTCCTGTGAGCCAGCAGAAGCAACCCTTATGTTCTTAAATCTATCAGACACGTTGATTTCCCTGATAACTCCACATTCTTTGCAAATGCTCAATAATCACAGAACCCACAAGGTCCTGCTCTTGAGGTTGCTGACTCTGCCTTCTGAAAATGGCACAGTCCCAGTTATAGGCTGAGCCACGTCAAGATGGCCATTTTGCAATAATATACGGCTTCAGTTAGAGCTGTAATAAGCAGTGGAGTGTACGGATGGCTCTAGAGATTGGCAAAGGAAAGACAAGCTTTCTCCTCCATAAAAATACTTTATGGGTTCTTGTTATCTGGAAAGAATGGGTGGGGTGGTGGAAGAAAACTAGTGTTGAAAAAAATTAAAAAGAGATTTAACAAGGCAGTAAAAATGAAGATCAGCTCAGCCAAGCTCTCAGCTGCAGATTTCATTTCATTTTATTGCCATTTTAGGGAAAGCATCTTCTTACCACCTTTGAAGTGCTACTCTGAGGAAGATCAAGAGAGGAAGGAAATGGCTATGGATGCGGCTTGGCATCACACTTTGTGCCCCCTGCCCACCAGCAAAGTTAAACATGTCCAAACTGAGTCCAATATTCTAAATCTACCTGAAGGACAGGTTGTGGTCTGGCAGGTTGTGTTTGCTGATGGGATGTGCTGGCAATCTTGGCTCCTGAAAAGTTCCTCTCCTGAAGGCCCACATCTTCAACACGGCTGTCCTCAAACCACCTCTCCTAGCTCTACCTTTCTGGCTCCCTGGCTGTCACTCTCCTAGTCCCAGTACACATGGTGGACCTCTAGTCCACAGCTGAATATGGCCCTTCAAGGCTTTCAGTCTGGCCCTTGGGGCTCTCTCCAGGCCGCAGCCCTCAGCTGCTCTGCTCTGGTCCTTTCTCAAGAGCTTTTTTCATGATGGAATGTGTCCTTGGACACTGGAAATCCCCCTTGCTTGCCTAGAAGGAGAGATGTGTGGGCATAGAAATGCCTGGCTTTTACACATTCTATGCAGCACCCTATTACCTAAACTTCCTGTATAGAAAGAGAGGCCACAATTTGAAGCCCTTCAGACTGATGCAAGATACAGCTCCAAGCCATCATCATTCCTGCTTGTCACAATTTGTCACTCTGCTGCAAACTCCCACTCCCAAGTATGTCACATCTGACACCCCCAGCACACATTTTTAATGCCTACACAGTAAACGATCCCATTTATTCCTTGGGAGGAGTGTCTTTTTATTGGCAAATACAAACACCTCATGGAAAGCAGGCACAAAGAACATCATTTCACACCATTCAAAATAATCCTTCAGGAGCAATGACGGCTGGTGTCCATTGGGAACAGTGGCAGGGAAGCAAAAAGAGAACCCAAAAGTAGGTGGAACCAGATCCAATGACAGGCATAGTCAATGACAGGTGGAGCCAACTCAGTCTAGGAGAAGATGGAGAGGTGATATGATACCCACTTTCAAGTATCTGAAGGGCTGCCACATGGAAGATGGAGCAAGCTTGTTTTCTACTCCAGAGGGTGGGACCCAAACCAATGGAGTCAAGTTGCAAGAAATGAGATTCTGACTAAAAGCCAGGCAAAACTTTCTGGCAGCAAAATCTGGACTCTTCTTCACTGGAGGCTTTTGAGCAGTGTTTGGATGGATGACTACCTGTCAGGGATTCTTTGCATTGCATGGGATTGGACAAGATGACCCGCAGGGTCCCTTCCTACTCTAC